GCGGAGCGCGGGCCCCGCCGGAGGGGCCGCCCGGGCCGCGGGAGCCGCGCCCGGCACCTCTCCTCTACGGGAGGCTGTCTCGGGCCCAACAATTGCCAGATCTGCTTAAGGTGCAGGTTTATATAGGGCAGCCACTGATCCCGGCGGGGAGGGAAGGGCCGCTCCGGCCTCTCCTGCGTGACTGCCAGGGAAAGCTGGGCTGCCAACATGCAGGGAGACAGATGAGCCTCGTGTAAGCCAGGAACAGTATTAAACTGATCTGAAAATGGAAAGTACTGTTTAAGTACCACGCATTACTGCTCTGTGACCGGCCTAGGGCATCATCATGTTATTCAACCCGGTGCAAAGCGTRGGCCCAGCAGCATCACCATGTGCCCCCTCTGTCTGCAGGTCAAATAGGGCCAGGCTGGTGCGGCCGCATCCACCCCTGAGCAACCCAGCCCGAGCAAAGCRAGCAGGCAGCGGGTACAGCAGCAAAGCTACAGCCAACACAGCCTCCACGAGGCGCCTGGGAAACAGCCGCTTCCGAGCTCCCCCAGCCCACAGAAGGGCACAGGGAGACTGGGGTGCCCCAGCGGGCGSGCGCCCGCGCCGCTGCCTCGCACAGCCCTGTGCTGGGCTGTGCAGCCCCTGCCCTGGCCTCACTCGAGCTTCCCCGGCAGCGGGATGAGTTGCAGAGGGGCAGGAACACAGTCAGGCGGCCTGGACCTCTCTCCTCACCAGGGGAAGCTGCTGATAGCACAGAAACCACATGGGAGAGTGCGGGTGCGCTGGGGGACAGCGCTGCCCCTGCACAGCCTCCCTGTTAAATGACACGTTCTCAGGGCAGGAGAGGCAATGTGCGCTCTGCCTGCACCAGGTCATGCAGTCAAGGGGCACCCGGCTCTATCGGCTGTGTTGGAGCATACAGAGATGGCTGGGGCTGCAGTCAATGCTGCTCCTCAACAGTCCTTTGACACCAAAGTGTAGGGTGGATGTTTAAGACCAGATTTTAGCGCACTGTGCTATGTGAGTCATCCCCAAGGGGAGCATCGGAGCTCTTGGGCATTCAGCAGCTATTCCTACACACTGAAAGAAAGGCAATGCAACTAAAAAGGGGCACCAGACACCAGAAATAGCTACAGCACCGTGCAGCGTTTACCCAAAGCTGCGCATTGAACTGAGATGCTGCCCACCTGCAAAGAGGCTCCCAGCGGTGCTGGTGGTAGGCAGGAGGGAGAGAGAAGTTCCTCACCAGAAAGGGCTGCACAGTTCGTGTTTCCCCATGATGAAGGAAACGTGTGGAAGCAGGGAGATTTCTGATTCTTAGCATTTACCTGGGACCTGGAAAAGAAAGAGGTAGAGGACACAGTTGCTGAGGGATAAAATAGTAGAAGAAAAATAACAGAAGCACAAAGCGAAAGCACAAGAGAGGCATACAGAAGCAGAGAAATGCAAAGAATAAATTAAAAACTAGGAAGCCTTCCTTTTATGTTAGAAATCCATGTTGTTTCATWAAGTTTTTAATGCCATACACCCAATGACTCTCAAGAAGCTTCAACACGTTACCTCGCACGCACTCTACCAGACACCCAGGTAAAGGCAGTTCCTGCCCTGCAGAAGTCCTTCGACAGGATTTTGCTTTTCACTTGTTGAAAACTGATTAACTAGAGCCCAGGACTTGTTCTGTGTGACAGTTAAGGATCCTGTGCAAAGCACCTCGTGGTATTGTAGAAGCCCCGATTCACAGTGGTCTCATAAAAATATGTGAAAAAACAGGAAAAAAAAAAGTGTGGTCTGGAAATAAGAAAGGGAGAAAGCAGAGAAGCAAACGTGGAAATGATAGCTAACCATGTGTCACCCATAGCAAGTGCTATAGGAACAGATTGCTAGCTGAGAAACTTGTGTTAGGAGAAAAGGGGGATATAAATTGAGTGACAGACTTGATTAAACCAAGTACTGAGTGGGAGACTAAATTATGGGGGTAGAGTTTTCAAAAGGAACATAGGCAAAATGAAGCAGGAGGAAGGGTGGCAATATGGGTAAGAGTATTGTGTCAACAGAAAGAAATATTGATGTTCTGACTGACATAGCAGTCTTCTTGTACCCAGAGTAAAGCTGCAAACAGAGGTGAATATTGAGTGGTGTCTGGGCAGAATAATGTCGTAGAGACTAGGAAATATTTGTGCAGATAAAGGAAAGGTTTTGAGAGATTCAGTGCCCTGCTAAAGGGAGGCTCAGCTGCAGAATTTTAAGACAGGTGCCGAGCTCAGTTGTGCACAAGGAAATCTGGGAGCAGTGCCTTGCTTTTCGTGGACCAGCTTCAGATGTCACGTTAGTGGAGCAGCAGGGATGTAGCACAGGTTGGCTTCTACAGGACACTGAGCTGTCAGGGATCTATCAAGATTAATCTGACTTTCATAACTGGGWCTGAGTAAGAAGCACTACTTAAAATAGAAAGAAAATACACACAATACAAAGGATTTAATGCAAGGCCCATGGACATAAATGGGCATTTCCTCTGATGTTAATGGATTTTGGATCAGGCCCCATCTAGCCATGGAGCCTAAGGTCAGGTTTGGCATGTTGAAGAATGTCTGTGGGAAGACAGCAGCACAAAAGCGTTGGTCTTCAGGGAACGGGAGTGAAGGGCTACAAAATGAGCTCACAGAAATTATATGGAATTCCACCCGCCGCAGCAAACGGGAAGCACAGCAGTGACGGGCTGGAGACCTGCACCCTAGAGCCTCACACGGCCAGGCGGGCCGAAGGGCAGCACAAAACGCCGGGCAGAGCAGCACTGGCCACTGCCACGTGGGAGGAGAGGGGCTAGCAAAAATAGCCCCAGGATAGAGCACCTGGGAAGGGGGAGGATGGATGGAGATCGGGAGAAGCTGGGGAGGGGGAAGGCGAGAAGCAAAAAGATATAAGCAGCAAGTAGAACGAGTAAACATATTTTATATGTTCTGGAGTTTTGTCTCCTTAATTCAGGGTCCCCCAAGAATTAAATCACTTTTCCGTCTGTGCCTCTGCTGTCCAAACCGTCCATCGAGACTGCGTAGCGACAAGGTGGGTCTGGTGGCTCCCCATGCACCTACGGGGTATCCAGGGCAGCCTGCCCTGCCCTCCTGTGGGACATCCAATATCCTACTCCAATTCCGTAACAAACAAACCTAAGCTCATTGATTTTATAAAATATAGCATTACCTTAAAAACAGGGACTTTTTGTTGGGTATAAGGGAGAAGAATTTTAAAATTCTTAACA